TTCTTCAACCCTTGAACTCCTCAAGAAACCTTAGCTTTGTTGACTGGGTGAATTGGCCAACCCCTTCTCTAGGGCCCCTAGGGTCCTTTTTATAGAGAATGGTGGATATAACTGGAATTACAGAGAAATAGGGGGTGGCAGCTGGGTTTTAACAAAAATATGGGTGCCCTAGGGTTTAGAATGAAGGGTTAAGATGGTTCTAGGGTGATCCTAAGACAGAGAAAAAAAGAAGATGGTGGCCAATATTATGTAGGGCCGAGATTTAATGGCTAAAAGCGGAATGGTAAAGATTAGAAGTTAGGTGGCTCCCTAGGGTTAGAATGATAAAAAGAGAGTGCCCTAAAATGAGTGGTAGAGATTAGAAGGGATGAAAGGTGATGATTTAGTAGTTAGGGGCAGCTAAGGTTTGTTAAGGATGAAAAGAAGGGGTTAAAAAGTGCCCTAGGGTTTGCTAAAACGTGGGGAGCATGCTAATACAATAGGAGGGGCGCCAAATTGGGTTTAACAGCTAGGAGGCGCCCTCCTGCTTTCAGTTTTTCACAAAAACACCCCCTCTCTCAGCTGGACTTCACACCAGTTTACCAAAATCTGCATTTCAGCCATGAAAAGTTCTAAGTTTTGCATAGAGACCCTCAGAGGTCACAACATTAAAATTACGTAGGAAAAATACACAATTTGACTAATCTAAAGCCGAAAATACCCCTGAATTGGTGCCCTTAAGGCATCAAAATGCAGAGTTATCTTGCATCATCAGTTGACCTGTTCATGGGTCAGGTAGCCCGATGGGCGGGACTGGCCCGACCCGTTATAAGTTGATCTTGGTTATAATTTTAGGCCTGCGGGCTCAGGCTCGGGCCTAAAGCACCAGGCCCAACTTTTTTCGAGCCGGGCTTGGGCTTTTCCAAAAAAGCCCAGCTTGAGCCCGAGCCCAACTTGATACTATATATTAAATAATAAAAATATATTTTATTTAATAAAAAATATATGTACAATATTTTTTCTTTGCTATTCTTCTCTTTTTTTAAGTAATAGTGAGATGTTTATTATTTTTGAGTTTTGAAGGTTTTTAATATAAATAAAACACTTTTTATTGAATAAAAAAAAACAAATTCTGCTTTCAAATTTTTGGTTAGAGTCGGGCTTAGGCCCGGGCTTCAGGCTTTACATAAGGGTTGGGTTTGAGCTCAAGACCTAATCCCTATGGTCGGGCTCTGACCTAAGTGTATTCTATTGATACTTATAAAACCTGGCCCATGAAGAGGACTAATCATCAGTACAAACAATGGATGAAACAAATCTAATGACCATATTCCTTCCCGTCCCCTCTTTTAACTTTCGTATTCAAGTAGCTAGAACAGATTTGTTAGTGATAAAAACATTATCTAAGTTTTGCCCACGTTCATCCTTTTTTAGAGTTGGGAGAAAAATTATTACACCTCACAAGCTATCATCATACAACTAAAATGATCCCTCCCAACAACAGGAAGAGATGTTCCTATACCAAAGTAAGATCACTAAATTTCCTCAATCAAATACTTGACCTTTCTTTTCCTTTCTTTCTGACAATTATATGATTATTATGCCTACAAATTTGTATAGGAAGACAAGTCTGGACCACCGGCCCACAAAATTCATTCCAACGACCTATCAACATGATTTTACATGGCACATCTTATATACAGTGCGTTTCACTTTTATGGTGGGTCTCAGTCTCATAGTGAGATGTGTGGTGTCGGATCAAATTGGTAGAAGGTTAAAACGTCTTTTATTAATAGAAGATCCCAATTCTAGGAAGACATTGTTCTCTGCACTCACATTATAGGATTCATCCATGGTACAAGGCATTTTTGTTCATGAAAAAATATCAAAAGATACACAAATTTCTAAAATTTTGAACAGTAGAAAGAATTAGAATTTCTCTTTAATCAGATGCAGCAGATATCTGTATGCATTTTCTTGATTTTGTTTGAATATGTTTAATCACAAACAGAGAAGGTAGTTGTTGATCAAGATTTCATAGCCCCACACGTGAACAGTGTGGATGTAAACTTGCATTTAAATCAAGATAGACCATATTGCAAATGTAAAGAGATGGCATTCAAAATAAGTTTAATGCTCACCACAGAAGTGAGCATTAGCGGCAGTTTTTTTAGCTGGCATATGGCGATTGCCGCTAGAAATTCTAAGTCACTGCCGTTACATTAAACTCCGCGAACACTGGCTTCCCTCCCTCGCACTCTTCTCTTTTCTCACCTTTCATATTCCCGCTCTCCCCTCTCTTTCTCACAGGCTCCCCCCTCTCTCTTTTCTCACATCCAACCAGCGACGACATCGACAAGAACATCTCTCTTTGATCTAATCTCCAAAGGACGGCGTGGATTCTATACCTTCTATTCTCGGATTCATGAGAAGGGAGTTCAGATTTGATCTGATCTGATCGATTTCTTGTTTTTTCTTATTTTGGCTTTACAAAGTGTTGTGTGGGCTGATTCGTTCTGCTTGTCTTGTTATAGGTGCTTTCTCCTATGTCCATGTCCGTGAGTTCTTTCTTCTACCTCTGAGTTTGGATAGGTTTCTTCTACCTTGTGGAGTTTTACATCAAGTCAGGCTTTCCTCTTGGTTCGAGTTTCTTTGTATTGATTGTGTATCTCCAAAAGCCCTAGGTTTTTGAAACAATCATGGTTTGTGGCTTTCATTCCTTTTAATTAGCGTCCATTATAATTCCTTTTACAATATTAATGCAGGTTAGAACCTGTAACTTGAATGCCAACGTGCATTATAATTTCTTTTACAATATAAGGACTTTTTTTTTTTTTTTTTCTTTGAAAAGTAGAAGTTTCAAAGAAAATCATCATCTCAGCCTTATTCCAACTATATGGAGTTGGTTACACTAGGACTTGTAAAAAAACTCACAAATACAATTCTTTTAGATTTTGAAAGCTAAAGAGATGGTTGTGTCTATCTTAGGATGAGCCATTAATTAAATTAAAGCCTCACAGCGTGGTTGCCGCATGACCTATTTTTACATAGAAAGACTCCTATTGAACTTATAATTTTATGCTTTTCACTTATAGATAAACTTTGTTTATATCCTCTCTGTATGAGTAGTTGATTTTCAGTACTTGTTGTCTTGTAATTCTCTTTTCTTTTTGCTATTTTCTTGTTTCTGTTCTTGTTACTATGGCCTTTGATTTACTCCCAGCATTGACTAGTGGTTCTTTATATTTTTATTTGTTCCCAGCATTTGACCAGTACATTGCCTGAATCAGGGAAACTTGCCAATGCCTTACCTGAAGCCTGCGGTTGATTGTCTGAATAACAGATGTATCATCATCATCACCACGGGAAGATCAGCTTCCTTCTTCAAAGATGTCTGTACTTCCAGAAAGACATTTATTCCTGCAAATCCCGATACACCCCGATACACATTTGATATGGGTCCAATATGCATGAAAAAAGATAATATGTCCGATTTTTATAATATCCTGAATCTATTTTTTAAAGATACGATATAATACACCCCATATCAAATAAATCATATCAAAATTTTAAACCTTACAAAAAGAGTATAAGTATTTATGAAATATAGAAATACATATACAGACAGAGACCTATTTATCATTTTAACAAAGCCAAATTCACACGAATAAGTGGGGTATGCAGTAGAGGTTGTGGCTAATTCCTGAAAGAATCATACTCATATGGATGGGCTAATGGACCTAATTATTTCTTAATCTAAATCTGCCTTATTTTGCTTAAAAGGACATAAAATTAAAGAAGTTTTAAAAATACTAATTATAAAATAATAATATATTTTAGCTGGAATCGGATTTTACTTGTGTTACATGGAGTTAAATCTGGATACGATATAAATTCTAGCATCTAAATCCGGGATAATCAGATCCCATATGACTTTTAGAGTCTACCACATTGACAAGTCATAATTAAACTTTGTTTTTTATTGCATTTACATTTTTTATAAGGGTAAAATACAAAAACCTCTCCTGAAATTTCTCACAATTATAAAAACCTTTCCTATAGTTTCATTTTAATAAATACCTTCCCTAAACTTTTGTGAAACTCGACAAAAACCTTCCTTTCGTCACTATCTCAGACGGAAAACATTAGATTGATGCACCCGTTTTTTCCAAATACCCATTCTACCCTTTTATAAATTAATTTACATACAAAATTACTGAAATAATCTCATTTCAACTAAAAAAAAAACCTCTTTTAACGATCATTTTAGTAATTTTACATACAAAATTACTGAAATATATCTTTTTATTGAGTTAAAATGAGATTATTTCAGTAATTTTGTATGTAAAATAATTTATAAAAGGGTAGAATAGATATTTAGAAAAAACTGGTGCATCAATCTAATGTTTTCCATCAGGGACAGTAACGGAAGGGAGGTTTTTGTTGAGTTTCTCAAAAATTCAGGGAGGTATTTATTAAAATGAAACTATAGAAGAGGTTTATGATTGTCAGAAGCTTTAGGAGAGATCTCTTTTAAGTTACATTTGGAACTTGTCCTGTTGTCCATAACCAGTGATTTGAACACAAAGCTTCATGCAACACCAAGAAAGGTTAAGATATACCTCTGAAGAGCTATCCTGTGATTATGCACACACGACAACCTGAACAATTTTTAGGGGAATTCAACTTCAGTAGCTCTGGAAGAGGGGACAGCAGTACCAAACTACCAACATTACCTACAAAGTTTCAGGTGGTGTTTGGCGTCGTCGTATTGTGCAGGCATTACAGAGCTGTTCATTGCCGCATAGGCACCACATGGACCTTTTCACTTAACAAACTAAAGTCTTATTTTGTTGGTTGGTTATCAGTAACAAACAACAATAAACAATTTAAACATTTACTTTGTACCCAACATTTTCTTTTTCATTTTCCAATGCATAAACCAAGTACACACACAACACTTCGCAGCACTACAACACCAAACACCTTCATAGTAGTCGGTAGGTGGACAGTTTGCAAAGTTCAGACATGTAACCAAGTTTCTATATGCAAGTTCTTCTGTATATGTTTTGTCAAATGATTGTGTTCAAACATGAATTTATCTATTATCTTACATAAATGTGCAGCGACAGGAGAGAGACAGTAATCAGAGTCCTGGTTTCCTGTTCAACAAACAAACTAATGGTCTTCAGCAACTGGAAGACCTAATTTCACAGCTCTATATATAACCCCCGGGCCGAAACATCACAGCAACTGGAAGACCTAATTTCACAGCAACTGAAAAATCAGAAGGTTATAAGGTCATCTTTTGGTGATTGCTGCTTCTTTGGATCCTGACCCCCTTCTGAAGTGCCGCCAGCTTTCTTGCCGAAGATCATCTCATCAAGATCATCCAAAATGGCTTGCTCTCCTCCCTGAGACCCACCTCGAGAACCTGCTGATTTCCTGATCAACGCTTCTTCCTTACCAACACTGGGAGATTCATCCGGTTCAGTGGAAACAGGAATCATTGCAGGTTGTGTTTCTAGTGGGGCGGCAGAAGGTTTCTTAAGTTCTTCATATTTGGAGAGGACCTTCTGAATTTCATCATTCACGTTCAAGGCTTCAAAAAGCAAGGCTTCATTGTCACCTGCAGTCTCAATAATTCTCTGGACAGTGAATTGGGATTGACGGCACTGTTGTACAAGTGTGGTTGTCAAGTCATCCTGTGCAATGAACTTAGAGATGTTATACACTGCAACAAATATAAATATAGAAAATACACTTTTGATGACTGATTAGGGCATATTCAAATTTTGATAAAAGGTGCACATCCCTAGTGAAAAGACAATGTACTCCATGCATTGAGGTGCTCATCTTTTCAAAATATCACTTTTGGCCTATTTACTAGGTGTATGCCCCCTTTATAAAAAATGGGGTGTGCTCTAATCATAACTCAACACTTCTTGATAATATTTGGCAGACACATTGTAACTTGAAATTTACCAAATCTTCTACATGCATTTGAACACTACATTATGATTAGAAAATATGTGGTATGTTTTGTAGAGGGTACCCAAGGTATGGTAGCAGACTAGCAGCACCTATAGAAATGGCTGAAACTATATTAAGCTAAAAGGGTATGATGAAATTCTATGAAGCAAAAGTTAGTAATAGGCAGTATTGCATGTAGATCAGACAACACTGATGAAGCAAAAATCATAGAAAACAAAAAACTGATCTGTGAAATGTGTTTGCTTGTGTATTATTAAGTCTGTACACGTGTGACCAGACAAAAAAAACATTCTGCATCTATGCACGGTTAATTAGGAAAACACCCAAAAATCAGAACAATAAACAATATTTGATAACATGATCCCAAACATCCATTACTTATATCCACTGAAAAAGAAAAAGGGGAAGTAAAACAAATAACAAATTTGCACAATGAGAGGAATGCCTCAATGTGTAAATTATGATACAAATCATATTGTATCGTTTATTTTTCAACTACCAGGCTGAAAAAAAATAAAGTATCCATAGTTCCAAATGCACAATATGCAACTTTTTGGTATTGTGTGTGTCAATACTTTAAACCTTGGCAGAGATTAATTAAATCAACTATATATGTCAAAAGATATTTCTGGATTTCTGGAGCTGTTTAGTTCATGTGAATTCTGGTCATGGCTAGTTGTGAGGTGCTCCAATTGGTTTGAAATCAGAAATATCTTTATAGATGTAGACAGGGATACCTAGTGGGTTCTATATGTTTGTTAGGTGATGCTCCCTATACTTATTTGTTTTGTTTTTTTTTGATAAATATACTTATTTGTTTTGTTTCAGACTGCTGTACTTGTTTTTTCTGTCACAGTTGACAGGGGTATTTTTGTCATTGTATCTTCTTTTTCTCAAGTAATATAAAAGCCAATGAGGGGGGCGGCAGAATATATTCATTCTGCTCTCTCTTTCTCTCATTCCTTCTTCTCCTCTCCCTCTCTTCTTCTTCTTCTTCTCTTCCTCTTTCTTCTTTTCTTCTTCTTTTCTTCTCTTGAACAGATTTCAGACTAACCTAGGACTGCTGCAGCTGTGTTTCAAGTATATCCACCAGTTTTCCAATTGTAGAAATAGTACTGACATCGATAGCACTGCATTGGACTACACAAAGGCATAAATATACTTACCAGTTACCCTGTAATGTACAAAAGGATTCGGGACAAACTTAGAAGCAACTGATCAATGGAAATTTGACTTTATTGTTCTTTATTTACTACTCAACAATCCACTAATAGAAGCCAGGACAAGCAATTAACTTCTAGAAAAGATCCAAGTGCATATGGATATCACAGCTCATTAGGTTTTAATTGCCCAACAATGAGCCTAGACAAGAGTAGAAAGCCTTATGTGCTGATTCGGCCAAGTTGGGGGTTTCAGCAATAGACAGAGGAAAGGGAAGAAAAGGAGAAGAAGGTCGACTAGGATAGTGATGCATAACCCTAGCCACCAGCCCCTCATTCTATTTATAATTAACTTAAATATGAGATATTACAAAGATGCCCCTAGTAGGGCGGCAACTCAAACTAAGTACTTACAATTCTTTAAAAAAAAAAAACTAATGGGCCCAAGGCCCAACAACTTCTTAATTTAAAAGAAAACAAACTAAACATAAATCGGCCCACTCAACAACAAGGAGAAAGTCAACCATTAAAAGAATCTCAAATTACATGCAATTACATGATTTCTCTGCTTTTCTTGGAAATCTTCCTGTTACTAATTTTTAGTGTACTTGGTTGGGTGGGCCAAAAATGTTAAGAATGTTTATTTCCAGGATGAACATCTTAGTCCCATAGGTTTTGAGTTCTGCCATTGCCTGTCAGTAGGCAATTATTAAGACCTAAAGGAAATTATTAAGACCTAAAAATCTCATTACAAAGACATATTCAGAACATCCAAATATACATATTTTCATGAGACCTAGAAGAAATGCTAAATATAGAAAAACACGAGATACTGCTAACAAATTTAATGTTCAAAGGAAATAGCTAAATCTACCTATATGCATTACAATTACAAGTTGAAGGGGCTAGAAGGGCTAAGGGTCGACCAAAAAGGGCATGGGTAGTAGTAAAAAATGATTTAAGTATTAATAATTTAACAGTGGATATGAGCATATGGCTTTTAACATAATGGATGGGCAAAATGGGATCCATGTAGCCAACCCCATATAGTTGGGATAAGGCATGGACGAAGATGATGATGACCTATATGCCTTATAACTACTACTCTAAAAAAGCCTAAGTACAAAAAAGGATTTTACCACAATGACCAAAAAGGGATGTTTATAGGGGAAGCCTTGCATTAACACCTTCAGAGAACCCATAGAAGTTGAAGTGGGAGGGGGGGGAGTCAGGTTCCTCCAAAATATCTCAGGTGCATCATCAGTACAAACAGTGGATGAAACATAAATCTAAATGACCATATTCCTTTCTTTTTTCAAAATATCTCAGGCGCATCATCTCCGTATGCATTTTCTTGATTTTGCTTGATTATGTTTAATCCCAAACAGAAAAGGTAGTTTGTTGATCAAGATAGACCAGAAAAGGTTGCATTTCATAGCCCCACACGGGAACAGTGTGGAAATACCTTGTAAGTTTGCATTTAAATCAAGATAGATCATATTGCAAATGTAAAGAGATGGCATTCAATTTATAACAATACCTTTAATACATCTTGCTGTGGAGATGAGGATAAAACTGTTGAAAGAAGTTCAATGCTGTTTCGTGCCACATCAAATGCTTCCTTTGTTTGTTCTGCCGAAAAGCTTTGCACAGGTATTTCTCGGTGAATTTGTTGGGCGAGATTATTGGCTTCTGATTCAGAAACTGAACGTGGTGGGGTAAATATGGGAGCCAAACTCTCATTATCACGTCCAGGGAATCGAACACCTCTAGATTTCAAACTCTAAATGAAACATAAGGAAAAAAAACACAAATGGATAGTTAATTACCTTATTACCAAAATGGACAAGGAAAACAAGAAAACAAAAATTGAAAGGTTATATACATAATGATACCAAAGAATCATTAGATCGAGAAAGAAGATACATAAAGCCCAAAAAGGGCTGAATTTCCCATTTAGATTATGTATTTAAAGGAAAACAGTGGTGCCATTAGGGTTCAAAGTATCGATGCACTCAATATGCAAAATTTGTGTTTCGAGAGTTTCAGTCAAATGAAACACTTCTATTCATTTATTTATTGTGATCTTTAGTCAGTTGAAACATCATGTCATATGGCATCAGTCAAAACAATTGAAATCCTTCAAAGCATACTATATATAGTATTGGTGACCCTGAACTGAAAAACCATATGATATGCCCCGTAACAGATGTATTGTATTGATACTTTGAACCTTGGGTGCCATAAGGTTTTGAAGGTTAACCCTGACCATCATCATTTGGCCCTGGGATTCATCATTCAATGGCAGTGCATTCATGTGGCAGAATTGCTTTGATTAGGACTAGACCTGTTCATGGGCCGGGTAGCCTGACAGGCCAGCCCATTCATGCTTGGGCTTTAAGAAGATTTTAAGCTCACAGGCTTGGGCTAAGGCTCAAAACACTAAGCCCAACTTTTTTTCAGCCATGCTCGAGCTTTTTCAAAAAAGCCTGGTCTGAGCCCGAGTCCATCCTGATAATATTTTAGTAGTTTTGGATTTTGAGGTCATTTAATATAAATATATCAATTTTGTTGTTGAATAAAATTTTGGGCTTTATACGAGGATCAAGCTTAGGCTTAGGCCTGAACATTTTTTATTAATATAGAGACAAAGCCCGGCCTGTCACAAGGTCTAATTAGGACTAGGAGGTCTCTCTAACAATTCTTATAATGTTCAAACTTTGTAATTGGAAGAACAAGATTGCTTTTGGTCTTAGCTCTATCAAAGTATCATAGCCACTCAATAGGTTACCTCGGGTTATAACAATATAATATTGTTTTTAAATGTTTAAAGTCATAATAGGGCCTTATTCTTTGTTTCAAAAGGAACACAAATTATAACATATACAAACAAAAAGCAAAAGCACTAGAGTTTAGACACGTAAGTAGAAAACTTGTGCCATGATCTGGCTGAATTAAAGATAGAAGTGACATTGTTGTGAAGCCTCTCACAAGTTTCAGCACATTTAAAAAACAATTTAATTTCATCATGTAACAAAGGAAAATTTTGGTTCATTTTATTTCTTTCTATCTTTTCTGTGTTTGTTGTGTGAGAGTTACTGAATAGGAAACAAGAATGGGGCCTTTCATTTTTTATTTTTTCCTTTTCCTGATGATGCTTTTTTCGTTTCTTCTCTTTTTTTTTTTTTT